TACCTAAAAAGACGCTTTTCGATATAAAACTTTTTGTCTCCAAAAATAGTAGATGGAATTCGCCAAGCAAAACCATTGATTTGAAAGATGTGCGAATTCCATTTCATTTGAAGCTGGTCGATTGCAGCATTTAACGTACCGGGACAAGTGAATCTATTAATAGAAGTACAATAGTTTTGGGATATCCTTTGCGTAGGTCAAATAAAGTTAAGTAATTGTCTTATTACGCAAAAAACCAGATTAGAAGAAAATCCTGTTGGATAGTAAAAAGTAACTATAAATACAGCAACACCCCAACATTAATATGATGTAATTCTATTAAGCAAGCAAACTTGAAGCAGTAATTAGCTAAATTTTTGAAGATTGAAAAAGCGCCAAGTACAAGAGTATTATCGCAGGAGAAAAAGACTGCAAATCTCATTTCATAAAAACTATGTGTCATGAAAAAGCGTTTTGTCGTAAGTACGCCACTTAAAGAGTCACTAATCAAAGAGTCAATGTGTCACTAACGTGTTTTGACGAATCTAAATAGCAGGCTGAAAAACGTTTAATAAATCAAGAAAAAAGGTTAAAAAGATTTTCCGAATTTTATAAAGAATATATTTCATTCTTAAAGGATTATGAACAGTTATGTTAGGTCATATGAAATAAGTCAACGAGGAATTAGCAGTACCTTATTCGCATTATATACCGCATCATTGCGTTATAAAATATGCGAAAGTACGAAAACGAGAGCTTTTGACACATCGGCAAATGGACGATCTGTAAATTCAATTCAAATGGTAGGGTCCTTAATACAAAACAGTTAATTCTCTATCATTATTCGATTTCAAAAACATATTACTTTCGCGGATATAACATACAAGCAAGTCTTAATAGAGAAAGATCAACAACCATTGAAAAGAATCTTATGGCGAGATAATCCTAACGATTTAATCAAAATTTTAAAATTAAAAACAGTAACGTACGGAACCACTTCTGGCTCATTTCAGGCAATTAGATGTTTGCATTAATTAGGTACTAAATGTCAACAGGAAAAAGCTGAGATATCCAAGGTAATTTTCAATGATTTTTATGTTGATGATCTGCTGACAGGTAGCAACACAAAGGATTAGGTAATATCCATTGTCGCAGGTTCCCGCTGAAGGTTGTTTTGAGTTGCAGAAGTGAGCATTAAATTATCCAAAAGTTTTGAATAGAATTCGCAAAAATAGCAAAATCCTTACTAACGTTCAAATTTTAAATGAAGGGCAACGAAAAACTTTAGGCGTTAGTTGGAATTTGCAAGCTGATGTTTTGTTCTATGATGTTAACATACCGATCAATAACAGGATCACCAAAAGACACATTTTATTCATAACTTTAAAAATATTCGATCCGTTAGGACTATTAGCTCCGTGCCTAGTGGTAGCTAAAATAATCTTGCAAAGGTTATGATTAAAAAAACTTTCGTTGGATGAATTTTATCCGAATTGCATCATCGATGGTTGCGCTGCAGCGAGGAATTAGCTGAGCTAAAAGACTTACAAATTTTACAAAATTAGAGAGGTTTTGTTGCGCGAAGCGCGCATATTTAAACTCAAATACATGGATTTTCGGATGTCTCTAAGAATGCGTACAGCGTCCGTGTATACGTACGATCTGTTGATGCTGGGAGAAGCGTTAAAGTTAGACTGCTGTGTTCAAAAACGAAGATAGCTCTATGAAAATGTTAAACTATATCGCGTCTAGAATTGTGCGCAGCACTAAGTTAGTTACTACAAAATAAATAACAATAAATAAAGGGCAAAATAAGAGTCAACATATTTCTTTAAAAAAAGTCACACAATTAAAAGAATAAATTACAAATAGAGAAAAGTAAAATTAGAGAAAATATATAATATTAAATTATTTTTATTATATATTTTCTCTAATAGAAAGAGGCCTTCAATCTGTTAAATGTTAGTTACTACAATAATTTTAGCTCTCGATAAGCGCAGAGTCATCTTTTGGTGTGACTCCACAGTAGTGCTAAGCTGGATACATGCTCAACCAAATTTACTTTTAGTATTCGAATCCAATAGGGTGGCACGTATTCAAGAATTAACGGAAGGAAAGGTATGGCGACATGTATCAACGAGTGACAATCCTGTTGATTGATTATCGCGTGGGTCAAATCTAAACAAACTAAAAGAGGCCGACATATGATGGAACGAGCCTGATTTTCTAGCCGATCCGTCAGAAGATTGGACTAAAATGCCATACGTGGAATCGCTGATAAAAAAAAAACAGGTTTTGTTTCTTGCAAAAATTAGAGAGTAGCTTCATCGATGTATTGTTTATGAGGCGCTCAAAGCTACCTAAAATATTGTTGAAGATTTATACATCATTTAAAAATAAAGAAAAGAAGCGGGAGAGGCATAAGTGCCAAAGAATATTATAGCTTATTAGTTGAATTAGCCAAATACTCGTAACGTAACGCGTTCAAAGCAGAAATCGAATCACTTAGAATGGATGTGCCAGTCACGAAGGAAAGACGCTTCATTACTATTCTTGGATGAAGATGGAATTCTATGCGTAGAAGGACGACTAAAAAATTTGTTATTCACAAAGGACAAAAAACATCCTATTGGATTCCACTCAGGTATTTACTAGGCGTCTTTTTGAAGATGTGCATGTGCGATTATTGCACGCAGGACCTTCTCTGCTGCTAGCCTCAATGCGGGAGCAGTTTTGGTCCTTAAGGGGACGAAATTTAACTAGAAAAGTAATACGCGCTTGCACAACGTATTGTGAAGTAAATCTTAAATCATTACAAGCACTCATGGATAATCATCCGCGATCGCGAATCTTACCAACGCATTTTTTACGACAGGAGTAGACTATGCCGGACCCTTTTTAATAAAGAATCGTAAAAGAAGAGGGCACAAAATAAATGTCATGTTTGCGTGTTTATATGTTTCTCAACAAAGGCTGTGTACCTGGAGATTGTGTCTGATCTAACCAAGGAAGCATTCATAGCAATTTTAAAACGCTTTGTATCGCGTCGAGGAAAACCTTTGCACTCCAACAATGGAACTAACTTTATTAGGGACAATAATGAACTTACTGAATTTGGGAATTTGTTTGCTCAAGAATGCAAAGATCAGGGTGAGACGATAGAAGAATTGGAAATCTCTTGACATTTTATCCCTTCCTATTCGCCTCATTTTAACGGATGGCCGGAGTAAAAGCCAAATACTATTTAAAAAGAGTAACAAGAAATGCATTGCTAATCTTTGAAGAGCTTTATACGCAGATAAAAGCACGACTTAAATTCTCGACTCTTAACCCTACTATCCTCAGATTCAAATGAATAAATTCCTCTTACTCCAGCTCATTTTCTCATTGAAAGAACATTCACGTCGGTAGCTGATCCAAGCCTAGCTCATGTAAAGGAATTAAAATTATTGATTTCCAATGGTCAAAGAATTCAGCAGCTATAGCAAAATTGTGGAAATGTTAGAATAAAGAATATATTTCTGAATTGCAGCAAAAAACCAAATAAAAGAAACCCTTTCCCCCATTGGAAATTAATACGCTAGTCTTAGTGAAAGAAGGTAATCTACCGCCTTCCAAGTGGAAGCTGGGACGAATCACAAAAGTTTATCTTAAATCCGACGGAACAGCCAGAGTTACATCCATAAGAACATAACCAGTGAGACTGTGCGCAGAGCCTTAAACCAAGCTTTACTCTCTGCCTCAAGATGAAGTTGAGGCCCATGTTTAAATATTAATAAAATTAGATTTAGATTTAAAAGTTAGTTAATTTTAATTCCGAGGCTGTTTTAATTGATAATTATGTTGTTAATTGCTTAACGTTTTGTCTTCAAAGTCTACTCTTTGTTTATTTTCAATTTAGAGTTTAAGTAAAGAATTTATTATATCAATTTAGTAAAGCATTCATATTTTATTTATCTGCTCCATTATTTTGTATTTGAAGGATTAAGCCATTATAAGATTTTATGTTCTGCCTACTGGACTCATGACTCAGATTTAATTTGTAACTTTTTTTTTATGTTAATTATATTCTGCTTTTTCTCATTTCGCGCCTAATTGAAAGTATTGCTCCGTGGCAGGAGAAAAAACTTTTTTGTTGCCAATTATCAATGGTACAGTCAATATAAATCGAATCTAAAAATACAAAATGATTTCTAAACAAGATTAATTGGAAAGCAATAATTGATGTTTTATCGTACACTGGGCAACAAAATTAACGCAACACCTGTTTCACTCTGCAAAAATAGGCAAATTTCAAGATACAATAACTTTGTCAAAAATTGTCGTATCGGGATGTATAAAAAAGCATTTTACAGATAGAAACCTCTATTTTTCGGATCGCTACTTAAAAAAACGGTCTCATGGAGATTTTATGAAGTTACACAAACATAAATGGAGACATATCAAACTTCAAAATTTTTTTATAAAATTTGCGAAGTTCCACGAAGTGGAATAAAAATTGTATACAAATGTGATTTACATCATTCGAAAGAGCGAATCTTTACTTTTAATTTATTTTGAGAGAGACTTGAGACGGTGTCCTTGATGTCGTTGAACTTGGACGCAGTATTTTATTTTAGATACGTGGATGATATTTGTACTGCGGTGGAACCATCAAGAATTGACTCAATAGTAGAACAATTTAACTCGTTCCATCCACGATTATAATTCACTTCTGAATTTGGGGGTGATGAAATTAATTTCCTGGATGTGACTATATCGATCATTGGAAACGGGTTTGGAGTTGATTGGTATCGTAAGCCGACCTTTTCAGGGAGGTTTTTGAATTTTTATTCTAACCACCCCATTGCACAAAAAAGAGGAACGATTTTTTCGCTGGTTGACAGAACAATTTTACTTTCGGACTTTCGGTTTTACACACAAAATTTGACACTTATCATTAACATTTTATTAGACAATGACTACCCATTATCATTTATATTTGACACAATCAACCTACGAATTAAAAACTTGAATAGAAATAGACACATAACACAGAACAGTATGAATGACAAGGACGAAGCGAAGGAATCAGTGTCCTGGCTTACGGTTCCGTTCATCCCGCGCCACACAGAAAAGTTCAATCGGTTCAACAATAACGACATCAGGGTTTCTTTCCGTAGTCCGAACAAACTCAAAAAATACATTAAGGTACACAAAGATGTTCATCCACACACATCAAAGAACAACGTAGTGTACAAAATCTCTTGCAATGATTGTGACGCTACGTACGTGGGACAGACAGGCAGAAAACTAAAGACAAGGATTGCAGAACATCGCAATCATATTAAATACAACACGTCGGCACGATCGGTAATAACGGAACATAGAAGACAACTCGACCACGAATTTAAATGGGAGGAGGTCGAAATCTTAGATGAAGAGCCCAGCTATCGGAGACGTTTAGTTTCAGAGATGATTAATATCAGGAAACAAAAGAATGGTATCAATTTGCAGACAGATACCGAAGGCCTCCACAAAGCGTACATTCCAATCATAAATAGAGTTTGACTTTCGGTTACGGACAGCCCGTCTCCTCTCTCAGTCTGTGTTGATCCTCACTACTGAACGTACATGATAATCGATACATTATGTCTGTTTTACATATCTGCGTTCCTTCTCTCTGTACACGTTTCGAAAGTTTTTTGGTTCTTTTTGGACAGATTAATTCAAACTTCTTACACATGATTTCTGGTGAGTTTTTTATGAAATGATTTTTATGAAATTTGTTTGAACTTTAGGTATTTTATATTATTTTATTTATACGTATTTGTCCGTTACGTTTTTTGTTTTTAATTTATCCGTTTTATTAACTAGAACTTCAACAATGACAATTTTAATACTTTTGACTGTTCAACCATACGGAAATTATGTTTCGAGATCGAGACTCACCCGAACTGTGATTACTCGGATTATGCGAATACTTGCGACAATTGAATTTGTTCTGTTATTTTTTATTGTACTAATGTCTGAAGAGGGCTCAAACTGGTAGCCGAAACTTGTTACTTGTAATGTATTAGTTTATAGTTTTATTATTTATTATTTTTTGGCGTGATGTTTCATCGCGTTTAATACAATATATAATTTTATGTAAAAATTAAAAAATGTGGTTGACTCTTACTTCGCCCGTTGATTGAGTTTTGTTATTAATTTATTTTTTTACGAAGCTCCGTACGATTTTTTTTCATCGAATTATTCAATGTTGAAGCAAAAATAGCCCTTTTGCTTTAAAATGTTTTTTCGTACGATGTACGAAAGAAGAGAGGGGGAGAAGCGAAGGAGGCAGTGAGAGTGGAGGGGAAGAGCCGCTGGCAGCTCGGGCCCGAAAATAATCATAATAATAGCGTTAGACTTAAGGAAAAATTGGTAGATTGAAATAAAGTAAATAAAAAATAAAGTAAGTAAAATAAGATTTACAGGCCTATTTTCGGTACTTCCTGCATTGTCTAAACCAATGGAAAGAATTGCATGTGAACAAATTTACTCTTTCTTGGAGAAGTCCGATTTATTGGATTCGCGCCAGGCTGCCTACAGGAGGTCACATTCCACCCAGACATGCCTCATCGGCTTGTTTGATATTAGACATGCTGCGGATCAAAGGAGGGTCACTGTTTGTGTTTTGTTCGATTTTTCGAAGGCATTTGATAGGATGCAACATAAAATTTTAATTGACAAGCTCAAAGGTTTGCACCTTTCTTACTCGGTGCTGACATAGGTTGCATCATATCTCACAGGCAGGACATATTATAGATAGTTAGGTAACGGTTCTGTGTCGAACCCTACTAACATCACTGCTGATGTTCCACAAGGCTCTGTTCTGGGGCCTGCATTTTTCAGCTTATATCTATCTGATTTTGGGAGCACGCTCAACATATGCAAATATAATTTTTATGCGATGACTTGATAAGTAATTTGGATTACGAGCCGTGCAGGCTAGCCATCAGTGGAAGCCATCAGTGGGATAAATGAGGATATAGCTTTAATAGTCTACTGGGCTATTGCTAATCAACTTGTATTAAATGAGGCTAAAACACAAGCTATTGTTGGCACTACACGTTATATCAGCTTCATTGACCTCGAAACACTGCCAAGCATCATGGTTGGTCCTGAGAGATCCTGGTTCAATTTGCCAAGAAGGTTAAATATCTTGGAATTATTATATCCAACAATTTGTCATGGGATACTCAAGTTGGCGGCGTGACAAAGAGGATCAAAGTACTGTACCAATTGAAATTGTGCAGACACTTAATGCCAGAGTCTCTCAGGATTAGACTCATTGTTATTCTGGTCCTCCCTCACTTGGACTACTCTTGTGCTGCCTTTACAAACATGACGGAGCAAGACATCAGGATGAGGAGGGCCATAAATTCATGTCTTAGATATGTCTATGGAGTGAGATGGGACGACCACATTACGTCCGATTACAGACTGGTTAAGGATAAATGTCAGGAGGAAATACTTTGTTTATTGCCTACTGTACAGAATCTTGAGGACTGGGCAGTCTAGACTTCTTCTCTCCAATTTTACATACCGTGCTGAGGTGTCGACGGACTAGAGTGCTGAGATGCAGAGCAGACTCTGGTACTTTGTTGATTCCGCCGCAGTATCGTACTCAATATTATAAAAAATCTTTTCGCTCTACTGCGGCCAATCTATGGAACAGTCTTCCGCAGGATGTCCGCTCTTCGAGCTTCGTTAATATCTTTAGGTAGAGACTCTACGCGCATTTGCTCACAAAGCCTTAGAAGTGTCTGTATATTTTTGTTAGTTCTGCATTAGTTTTCATTTTTCTGCATGTATAATCAAAGTTAATATGTGCATCTCTGAGGTTTTCCTAGTTTTTCGCATGCGTGCATCTCACTCGCGTAAACTAGATATTTTTTTTTCTTTATATTTAATTCTTATTATTACTTTTACTTTGTATTTTTCTAGTATTTTCGAATCTTATTTCAATATATTTTCTTATATTCTGTACTGTTGTCTTTTCACTTGAGGGAACTTGTTCCAGAGCGCATAATAAATGCTACTCCTCTTCCTCTCTCTCTCTCTCTCTCCCTCTCTCTCTCCCTCTCCCTCTCCCCCTCTCTCTCCCTCTCCCCCTCTCTCTCCCTCTCCCTCTCCCTCTCCTCTCCCTCTCCCTCCCCCCTCTCTCTCTCTATCTCTCTATTTAAATGAGCGTTTCGATATTCCACTTAAACATTTGTTCTTTCAAGCATATGTATGGCTCGCCACCGCATCATTATTTCGATAAAACTTTAAACATGATTTTTCCAACTTTCCTTGTCAATAAAAAAGTGAAATTTGGTATTGAGCAATAAATTTCATCACACTCAAACGAATTTATAGGTATCAAAGGTTTAATCTCTAAAACAGAAATCTTCCTATACCGTGGGCATTTTCCTTTAATATAATGTCATAAAATTAAATTCAAACTGTGTAATTTAAAGGTATATTAAACTTCATAAAATTTTTAACAATGAATGAAATAGTTTTACTATACAGTTTTACTATACAGGGTGTTAGTTAAGTATGTTGCCATACTCAACAGAGCGATTCTTTGGTTTATTTCAAGTAAAAAAGTCCATATAAACATGTATCCTAAACGACTTAGTTTTCAAAATAAAAAAATTTATACGTGTAGTAATAATTTGTTTATTCGAAAGAAATACAGAAAAATAAAAATAGGCTTCACACACACACACACACACACACACACACACACACAGTTCTTGTGATGAAATAAAACAATTAGATGAATTGTTGAAAATGTCCACCTTACGGCATGATACATCCATCAAGCCTTCTTCTCAAAGATTGACGTACACGCTCAAAGATACCAGGAGTGTTGTCTCGCATGAAGCAACTATTCAATTCCTCAAATCATTCTCATTCTCAATTGGAGTGGTATAAATCAATGATTTCAGGTACTCTCAAAGGAAATAATTCAAAGGATTTAAGTCTGGTGATCTAGGAGGCTTTGACTTTGACTTTGTTATTTTATTTACGGTTGTACGAATGGTAACTCACGTGAAGCAAGGCATATTTATGCAGGAAGATATCTTGAACGCAATTTATCATTTCGTCAAACTTTTGCCAACATTCACCTATATTTCGGAAATTAAACCGTTTAGGACACATGTTTATATGGACTTTTTACTTGAAATAAAACCAAAGAATCACTCTGTTGAGTACAGCAGCATATTTAACTAACAGCATGTACAATATAATCGTCCACATCTTATAAAAAATGTGCGAAATAATTTATAAACAGAAGATTATACGATAAATTGCTAGAATAATGTAGTCACAGGTATCGCATCATAGGATGTCATTAAAATAGCATGACTAATGGATAAGGAGCCTACATATAATTCGATCAAACTGAAAAAAACTTACACAAGAACATATAATAGATAAAAAAAAAGATATGTGGAAAATACGCTACTCAAGAACTTAATGGGACTGTGACCAATTTTATCGAAACTATGATAAACTCAAATGTAAATACTTTTATAATAAGAAAGTATTATTTCCTGTTTTCAACTTTTATGTTGTAAATAATTTAAGAGTATAAACTAAAGTGCTTATTAAAAGAAGTAACAAATGATTGAAGTGCAAGCGCAAATCTCACCTTAAATCTAAAACAGCGATTTTTACACAGTTATTATCGATCCTTTGAGCCGGATACTCGCGAACCTTTTGAATTTCATAGACATTAATCTATTACTGCTGCTCTCTTTCGTGTGATTCATTACGCTTGTATGTAATATTATTGACACTTCGCTGATGAAAGCTATTATCTTCAATCGTTAAGAAGCTATTCTTTGAACATTTCATCTGTGTATTGAGTAAGATCAAATCGACGCGAAAGCATAATAAAGAGATTTCCGACAAACACGTTGACTTTCCGAGTGAAAGAAATAAATAAATCTCGATTATTTGAGAATGTATAAGTGAATCGTTACTGTCTGTGCTTCTATTTCGGGATTCCTTCGCTATACTCCTCAACATTTGTGATAAAGCAACTGGAACTGACAGGCGCCCGCATCGGGCGCACGATTGAAAATCTAAAGAAATTAGGTAGAGCAAATATAACGAAGTGCACTGCCTTAAGGCATTGGAAAAAACTGGACTCGATTTCAAGAACAACATGAACAAATCCTTGACGTTTACAAAGCAAAAGAATTAGCATTACCGTACTTTATGGAAAATCACTTTTCCAAGATAGAGGAGATCTCATGCAAAAGACGAAATTGCTTAAATACAAGGATGCTTATATGCCGCAATCTGCACGCTGCTGCAAGTCCTGCGCTGCAGGATGCGCCCCAACAGCGATATCTGTCTTGCATAAATGTATCTATTTCTTTAGGTGATTATTTACAATGGACGCACTTTCTATTTTCCAAACTCCGATAATTGACAATTCAACGCTAAACAAAGTCGAGAAACTGCATTATTTAAAAAGCAGTACTACTGAATCTACTTCGCAATTGTTACATAACACTGCAATAACTGGAGACAAATTCGATCGTGCCTGGGCTTTATTGAAAAACAGATATGAGCACCTGTTGGTTAATGCATACGCTATGCATCGCTGTGCTTTCGACTGTCAATAAAGAACGAATCAGCTGCTGAGATAGACGAGTTATTAAGTTGTACAGTGAAAGCAATGCAAGCATTAAAAACTTTAAAGAAGCCGGTACAGCACTAGGATGATTGGCTAGTATACATCACAGTAAAACTACTCGATTCTCAATCACGCAGAGATTGGGAAGCTTCTCTAGAAGCTTTAGAAACGTCAATTAAAACACCCTCTTTTATTGCAAGCATATCTGTGATCACGA